TAACGTTAATTAGGCTATGTGAGTACTGCTCATGTCTGAAAATAATATATGAAAAACTAAATTATTTTACATAACAAAAACATTATAGCTTATATTTGTTGAGTACATTTTTAATTAACGTAAAAACTAAAATGAATTGTAAAACTGAAAGTTATTTTTTTTAATTGTGTTCAGCATGGTGGGCCGCATTTGAATTCGTGACGGGCCGCGGGTTGAGAACCACTGCTTTAACCAATGAGTGGGAAGTGATTGAGGAGCGGAAAATGGAAAATCCGCCGAGGATTTGGAACGGCGTGATTACAGACTGCTTTCAGCGGGAGGGAAATTGCCTGTCGCTCCAATCCGCTCACACCAGTGCCACTGATACAGATGATTAAACAACTGCTTTCACTTGAAACCTCGGACCTCCGCCGTCTTTTTGGATGACTGAGAGGAAGACATCTGAGAGATGAGCCGTGGACAACGTCCTCTGAGAACCTGCAGAAGATCAACCACACACACTTCCTTCAGCTTCAGAGTGGGATTTCTGCTGTCTGTTCAATCCAGAACCGGGATGGTATTGGTGAAATATGACTCTTGTGTCATGTCAGAATGATTACGAGCTTCCAAATGTTAAAATAAAATAACATTTAATAGTAGTTCTGTACGTCGTTCTGGTTCCTGCTTCATATTTCTGTTTGAAATGTCATTTTATTGTAGCCAGTGTTACCTGGTTCACTTTCTTTATTTGTCAGCGTTTTGCAAAGAAGTATAGAGGTGAATAAATGGAAATTAATTATCAACAACAAAGCTGCACATGGATCCATGTTGGCACTATGAGTGTTGCCATAGAGACTAATCATTTCAAAGTGCGAGTATGTGAACAGCTGAGAGCAGAATCTGAGTTGTTGACGTATAATCATGCTAATTCAGACACGACGTGACGTTATTTAAATGTTAAAAGATCCTGTGATTTATCTTTAAATAAGGAAACGAAGCATGACGTCACGTGTCGAGAAGGTTGTTTCTTTTGTTTTCTGTTCTAAATAAATTTGCTTTTTTTGATGTTTTGACCAAACCCACCTTTGGTATCCCTCTGGGGAACCTGAAAACTAATTTTCATGCTGTTTTTCATTAACTCTGTATAATAATTCCCTGACCAACCACGAAACACAATGGCATTTTCTCAATAGAAATTATCTCCTCCGTGTGACTGCCGCCCACTCCGCGCAGGAAGCATATGTTCTCTCACACACAGCGGTCACACCTCAGATATGGGAACTTTCCGAGCTCTGTTTCTCTGTTCTAGCTCTTTCGGTGGGCAATACTGAAGTTTATCAGACCTCTGGCAGCAGTTAAAACAGCCGTCTGCTAGTACATAATAGTACATAAATTAGTTCTCAAAAAAGCTCCCAATTTATCATAATAAAATGTTTTATGCGTTAAGCTGATGAAGACTTCACATCTCATTTCTCTCTCAACTCAAACACTTCATTAAAGGGTTAGTTCACCCAAAAATGAAAATTAGGCTGCGTTTTACTCACCCCCGAGGCATCCTAGGTGTATATGACTTTCTTCTTTCAGACGAATCCAGTCGGAGTTATATTAAAAATTGTCTTTGATCTTTCAAGCTCTTATCATTGCACTCAGCGGGTGTTGCATTGCTTCAGTCCAAAAGACGTGAAATAAAAAGCGCCCCTTCCATAAAATAAAGTCTCACACGGCTCCGGGGGGTGAACAAAGGCCTCCTGTAGCGAATCGATGCGTTTTTGTAAGAAAAATATCCATATTCAAAACGTAATAATCACTTTAATCTAGCTTGCGCTCACTGTCGTAAACGGAAGCAGTTCCGGGGGAATTACGTATGAGGACGGCTTTGCGCATGCTCCGCTCAGAAGTGACGAACGCATAAACGCAGCGGAGAGATCAAAACAAAACAACGGTCACTAATTAGAAGTACAAAACGAGGATTTGTAAAGAAGAATGTCGGATGATTTCAATATAAGACAAGAGGAGACTGGTTTTCCTTTGCTAAAGTAAGGAAACTTTGCTTCCTTTGCTCCTGTTAACAAACATTGGTTTTCAGGAGAGTCACCGGCGCATGCGCAGCGCTGATCTCATACGTCATGCTCCCGGAACTGCTTCTGTGTACAACTGTTGGCGCAAGCTAGATTAAAGTGATTATTACGTTTTGAATATGGATATTTTTCTTACAAAAATGCTTCGAGTCACTACAGGAGGCCTTTGTTCACCCCCCCTCAGAGCCATGTGAGACACTTTTTTTTAAGGAAGGGCGCTTTTTATTTCACGTCTTTTGGACTGAAGGAATGCAACACCCGCTGAGTGCAACGATAGAGCTTGAAAGATCAAAGACAATTTTTAATATAACTCCGACTGGATTCGTCTGAAAGAAGAAAGTCATGTACACCTAGGATGCCTCGGGGGTGAGTAAAACGCAGCCTAATTTTCATTTTTGGGTGAACTAACCCTTTAAGTTTCAGTCCTCAGCTTAGACTTTTAAAACCCATGTATAACACATTTAAATACAAACTATCAGTAAATGAATGATTTTAACCATGAATGTGCTTAGATTGCACAATGAATCAAACTACTTGTTCTAAACTATTCTTGTTTCATTGCTTATTGCACTACCATTCAAAAGTTTGGGGTCAAAAGGAAATTAATACATTTATTCAGCAAGGACACATTAATCAAAAGTGACAGTAACGGCTTTTACATTGTCACAAAAGATTTCAAATGAATGATGCTCTTTTTGAACATTCTACTCATCAAAGAATCCTGATAAAAATTATACATTTTGACATAATTATTTGGCAGCTCAACTGTTTTCAACACTGATAATAATCAGAAATGTTTATTGAGTAGCATATTAGCATATTACTGGAGTAATGATGGTGAAAATTCAGCTTTGATCACAGCAATAAATTGCATTTTAAGTTATATTCAAATAGAAAACTGTAACTATTTTCAATTGTATTAATATTTCAGAATATTACTGTTTTTACTGTATTTTTATTAAATAAATGCAGCCTTGGTGAGCATAAAAACATCAGACAATTTCACTGTTCCCAGTCTGTTGAACAGTGGTGTATATCACCTACTTCAACTTCAAATTTTGGTCATAAATGTGGGCTAAATGGGTTTATCGAGTAACATATTCATCACTGAGAGCTCAGGTCACACAAATAGGCACAAATTCCAGACAGGAATTATAATTTCGCTCAGGTTTGAATATTCAAAAGTATTCCGTCTTTTAGAAGAGCCGAACACTTTTAGATATAAACCCAGATGGTGTTTTTCTCTCTTTCAGAGGGGCTCAGAAATATCGCCATGGACTCCAACTCTTTAGCGATGCCCATATCAGACCCTAATGCTTGGGCGACTGCCATGAACAACCTCGGGATGTCCCCCATGAGCATGACTGGACAACCTATCATGTCAGGTAACTCACTATACTGTACAATGGCATTTCAATCTTTTAATTAATTTATTTATTTATTTATGTTTAATCACATAATGCACCACAAAAAAATTAGTAAACTTCAGTGCAAATATAGCTTTTGGACATATTTCAAAGATGCTTGCTTCAAAAACAAATCCAGCAGCTAGTTCTTCCTCTGAAGTGTAGCCTAGTATTTCTGTCTACTGAAATGTTGGATATCGTGAAAACACTTGCTAGTAACATACTTTTTTCCTGGCAGACTTCCACTCTTTTGCTGAGATATATCTGTGGAAAAGTCTGTTCTTATTAGTTTTAGATGGATGAAATTTGGAACATTTTCCCAGTCATTTTGTGCTGATATCAGTGTTATTTTAGTATTATTTTTTATACTACTGTATTTAATTTAGTTGCCAGCTCAACTTTTCTAACTTTCATTTCAAGTGCAATTTGTTTTTTATCTTATATTTATATTTTATCTAATTTCTTAATGTTAGTTAACAAAAATGTTTTTAATAGTTTTCGTTTTTGTTAACAACACTGGCCTGTGCTGTCATGGAAACTGCAGTGGCATTATTTGAATCAGCTAACACTTTGTTTCACACCACTCTGTTATTTTGATGTCAGATTTCAGCTGTAATCATCATATAAAAATAGAACGATGGACTGGTTGTATTATGTTCCGGTTCTGTCTAAATGACCTGTTTTTGGATCAAATAAGCTGCAGTGTGGACCAGACTGCAAAAGATCTATGTATGTTTGCTAGTCTGCCTCCCTGTGCTGCAGTATTAGCCAGAGACTGAGGCTGATGCATCCTGTGGGCCAGAAGCAGAGCGCTCGACTGAGTCAGCAAGAGTGTGAAAGTACCAGTGTGAAAACTTCAAACACATTCCCACAGTGCTGTCAGAGTGGCCAATTAGTTTCAGGGCTTTTTCATCTCATTGGTTAATCGGCAGCACAATGCGAAGGAACGGCTGTGTGACGCTGGGAGCAGAGGCTGTGTTATGCCAGCTGGATGAAGCCGCAGAACATCTCAGCTGGTGCGCATGAGTCACTTAAACCTACACATCCACTGCACACATTTCAGAACTCATTTCTCTTTCGCACCGCATCGTTTATTAGCACGCGTGAAAGGTGAGCGATCCAAAAATGCCATTGAAGCGTTGATTTAATTGCAGGGAGATTAGAATGAAATGCAACTGCAAGACGGATGGATTTTCATTACGCTCAAATGAAAACAATAGAGGGTCATCCGACAGGCAGCAAACATCTCATTTTTGTTCTTTCTTCAATTTCATTCAAAATGATGGGCTGCATTTATCAGTATAAACACAGTTTATACGGGCATGTGTCTTTTTTTCCCCCGGCTTTTAGAATTGATTCTCTATAAGGTTTCGCAAATCACCTCCTTCATCTTATTTAAAGTCCCAGTTGCAGATATACAGTGGGTACGGAAAGTATTCAGACCCCCTTAAATTTTTCACTCTTTGTTATATTGCAGCCATTTGTTAAAATCATTTAAGTTAATTTTTTTTCCTCATTAATGTACACACAGCACCCCATATTGACAGAAAAACACAGAATTGTTGACATTTTTGCAGATTTATTAAAAAAGAAAAACTGAAATATCACATGGTCCTAAGTATTCAGACCCTTTGCTGTGACACTCATATATTTAACTCAGGTGCTGTCCATTTGTTCTGATCATCCTTGAGATGGTTCTACACCTTCGTTTGAGTCCAGCTGTGTTTGATTATACTGATTGGACTTGATTAGGAAAGCCACACACCTGTCTATATAAGACCTTACAGCTCACAGTGCATGTCAGAGCAAATGAGAATCATGAGGTCAAAGGAACTGCCTGAAGAGCTCAGAGACAGAATTGTGGCAAGGCACAGATCTGGCCAAGGTTACAAAAAAATTTCTGCTGCACTTAAGGTTCCTAAGAGCACAGTGGCCTCCATAATCCTTAAATGGAAGACGTTTGGGACGGCCAGAACCCTTCCTAGAGCTGGCCGTCTGGCCAAACTGAGCTATCGGGGGAGAAGAGCCTTGGTGAGAGAGGTAAAGAAGAACCCAAAGATCACTGTGGCTGAGCTCCAGAGATGCAGTCGGGAGATGGGAGAAAGTTGTAGAAAGTCAACCATCACTGCAGCCCTCCACCAGTCGGGGCTTTATGGCAGAGTGGCCCGACGGAAGCCTCTCCTCAGTGCAAGACACATGAAAGCCTGCATGGAGTTTGCTAAAAAACACCTGAAGGACTCCGAGATGGTGAGAAATAAGATTCTCTGGTCTGATGAGACCAAGATAGAACTTTTTGGCCTTAATTCTAAGTGGTATGTGTGGAGAAAACCAGGCACCTGTCCAATACAGTCCCAACAGTGAAGCATGGTGGTGGCAGCATCATGCTGTGGGGGTGTTTTTCAGCTGCAGGGACAGGACGACTGGTTGCAATCGAGGGAAAGATGAATGCGGCCAAGTACAGGGATATCCTGGGCGAAAACCTTCTCCAGAGTGCTCAGGACCTCGGACTGGGCCGAAGGTTTACCTTCCAAGAAGACAATGACCCTAAGCACACAGCTAAAATAACGAAGGAGTGGCTTCTCAACAACTCTGTGACTGTTCTTGAATGGCCCAGCCAGAGCCCTGACTTAAACCCAATTGAGCATCTCTGGAGAGACCTAAAAATGGCTGTCCACCAACGTTTACCATCCAACCTGATAGAACTGGAGAGGATCTGCAAGGAGGAATGGCAGAGGATCCCCAAATCCATGTGTGAAAAACTTGTTGCATCTTTCCCAAAGACTCATGGCTGTATTAGATCAAATGGGTGCTTCTACTAAATACTGAGCATTTTTCAGTTTTTCTTTTTTAATAAATCTGCAAAGATGTCAACAATTCTGTGTTTTTCTGTCAATATGGGGTGCTGTGTGTACATTAATGAGGAAAAAAAATTAACTTAAATGATTTTAGCAAATGGCTGCAATATAACAAAGAGTGAAAAATTTAAGGGGGTCTGAATACTTTCCGTACCCACTGTATATGCACGGGTGTAGCCCGCTATAGGCGCATGTTTCAAATGAAGTGGGCTGTGGGGATGCTCTAGCCACCTACGCTATTTTCCTATCAAATTTCATTTGCGCTGTTTACGCGGCCGCCACGCAAATGTCTCGAGCTCATATTTTGCGAGATCACCGCCCGAGAGCAAATTATGGAGTTTGCCTAGCGGTTTATAGATTGGCATTGGGAGGAGAGAAATGCTGATGGCAGTTTTATGTCAGAAAGACTATGGAATGAAACGGCTCTTAGTGCTGTTAATGTGTCCTGGCTCCCAGGAGCTCGCTCCTCCAGTACTGTGGGTCTTTTATTCTAATCCGTCCCGCCGCAGGGAATTCTGGGAGCCTTTTTGCCTCCTCTTGCTTCCTGTCTGGCAGAGACTGGAACAATACAGATGAAGGCCTTGAATCAGGGCGTCACAGCGGGTCACTTCTGCGTATAGATATTTCTCCACTTTCCTCATCCCGTATTCTTTCCTTGAATGTCATTGATTCCTTAGGCTGCTTAGCAGGAAATAATATAAATTACGCAGCCTTTGATCTGAGCTTTTTGCTGACCCGTCCTTTCCACCGTGCTGCGGGGAGAACTGGGCTTGGACGATGTTGTTATGACCCGCTCTGTTCAGTCGGCATTGGCTCAGGCTGTATTTTGATTGGAGGCGCAGGGAAGAGGCAGTACTGTCTGCCTCGAGTCGTACCTCATTAATCACACAGAGGGAGCAGCTGTTGCCTCCAACATCCTAACAGTCTCCCAAACTAAACTCGCCACAAACTCCATTCCGTTCCTGTACTTTGCCGCCTCAGCAAGTTGTGTGGAGTCATACGGTTATGAATATGACACTGAGTAGTCCATTCAGCCAACCAGCCAATCAGTCCTGCCTCCATTATGCACAGCTGATGCTATAATCAACAGAGATAAACTGTTTCTTTTCAAATTCAGAGCGCAAACTTTTGAGCAACTGCAAGGATTGTTTAATTATAGCTAAAGAAATTTTACCTTCAATATTTATCTTTCTGATATTTTTTTTCCAGTAAAAAAAAACAAAAAACTTTTTTAACAATAATTTCAACCAAACTGCAATTGACACCAGTTAGCCTTTTTTATTATTTTAGTATTTTTAAATAGCAAACATAATGATTAGGGGTGCTCCGATCAGGATTTTTGAGGCAGATCGCCGATCACAAAAACCAGTATCTGCCGATACGATCACCGATACCAATCTTTTTAAAGCCTTCTTTTTATCATGTAGAATTATTTATAGTGATGATCCAATCAAGATTTTTAGACATTTATTCAGGGCCTGAATTTCATTTTTGAAAATGAATTTCCCTCTTAGATGACTCTTGTGAGAGGAGATTTTTTTTAATTTGAGGGGTGGAGGGGCACGTTTGATCATGCACTGCATTTTTGTTTTGACAGTCGTGCAATTGTTGCACAATAGCTTACACACAGCACAAGCCTGATTTCGTGAGCTGTATGTGAGGCGGCCTTTTATGCCAGGTTCACACATACTCCGTTTGCAGTGCGTATGCACTCCATGTGCGGTACGTAAGCGGTGCAGAAGCAGCACTGACTGGGCTTTCACACAGGAGTCTGCAACTGATCCGTGGCTGTTTACTACAAACACAACATTTATCCATTATTTTATTATTAAATCCAAACATTGTTACTTAAAACAATCTTTCATAGATGTGTTTAAACGCAATAAATATAAAAAATGCATTATTCAATGCTTTTTACTTTTGCATTTACTTCTAGATTTATAAATTAAGTTGCTCAAGCAAGTGGCAAA